AGACACCATGTTGCTTATTCCTTTCATCACATTTATTGTGGTCAAGTGTGTGTGTGTGTGTGTGTGTGTGTGTGTGTGTGTGTGTGTGTGTGTGTGTGTGTGTGTGTGCGTGTGCTCGCGCCTGTGTGTTTGTGTGTGTGTGTGTCTGATGACATCACTGTGATGACCTCATACTAAGCTGACCTGTCACATCGCTCTGTGAGAAAGATGTCATCTGATTGGCTGGGAGGTTCTGCTCCATTTGGATTTGAACACAAACCCGTCATCAGAACCAGTGTGGCCTGGTTCTGCTCATCCTGGTCCTGTAGAATCCTCCAGTTCTGTAACTCATCATTTGCCTTAAAGTCACGCTGCTGTTTGTCACCATTTACACACATGAAATGAAGAATTTTGTCTCAAGTATGGTCCCCTCAGCTGCTGGCTGTGTTACCATGGTAACGGGCTGACAAACCCTAACCACCACCTTCGTGTTAAACTGCCGTCCGTGACTGAATCCAGGTTCGGTTAACCGGTTTTCGGTCTCCGGGTGAAAAAAATGATCAGCATTAGAGCAATGAGGGTGATGCCTTCAGGAACAGTCTGGATGTTTCAGCCTCCAGTGACTAAAGTGATCATTAGGAAGCCCAGAGGGACGGTTCAGATCTTTAGGTGAGGTCTGTTCAACAGATAAGTCAGTGAACAGCCTTAGTTTGATGAAACAGAAATCAATTCTGGTCCAGCTGGTCAACGCACCATTAAACGGTTTTGATCTCTGACTTCAGAGCAGTTTTTGCTAGCGCTGCTTTATTATCGACCACAAAATGAGCATTTCATGGTTCCTCCAGGTTAACACAACAGCTGCAACTAACTGCTGTTAGCATCCACGAATACCCAGAGGTTCTGCCACTAGCTGTTAGCTTATCAGTAGGATCTGTGTGTGTGTGTGTGTGTGTGTGTGTGTGTGTGTGTGTGTGTGTGTGTGTGTGTGTGTGTGTGTGTGTGTGTGTGTGTGTGTGTGGGTGTGTGTGTGTGTGGGTGTGTGTGTGTGTGTGTGGGTGTGTGTACACCTGCAGGGGGAGACAGAGTTCTATCAGAATATCGGAGAGCAGAAATCCTCCAACCAGAATCCGTTTCTTTGGTCAAATCCGGTTTATTCCACCCAAACATTCATGATGTGAAGTAAAAACACTTTTATTGTTTAATAAAAGAACAAACTGGTTTCACTGGTACTGATTTCTGTGGGTTTTCTGGTATTGTTGTTACAGGGGAATTTAAAACCCAACAAACGCGTAATTAGATGTGCTTTTTAAGTTTTACTTCTGAAGTTTTGGGCCAAACTTTACTTTTCAGCTTGATTCTGAACTTCCTGTGTTTGTTTTATGGGTGAGAGGTGGGAGGGGTGAGGGGCGGGGCTTTGCGTTGTCAGTCGGCAGCTGGAGACAGCTGTCGTTTCTGAAGAGAGCCGGAGCTTCGACGGACCGACCGTCTCACAGGTGAGTCCTGGGACACCTGGCAGATTTAAACGTTATTTATTCAGCAGCAGCAGGACTCAGACCCGGCTCACTTCACTCTTTCACTGAATCTGATTCTTGGAAGAAGCTGAGCTGAGATAAATTATTCTAACCTGATGTGCAGAAGCAACATCAGACGTCTCATTAAGTGGATAAAAATCATGTTTGGGTCTGACGGGTCAAGGTTCGGGTTTTCGCGTGAGCAGTGTCCAGCAGCCTTCCGCCAGGTCTTGACTTTTTGTCGTTACGTCGTTTAAATATCAGGAAATTACAATTTTAAAAAACTGGAAGTTTCATTCTTCAGCCTCTAAAGCATCTGGTTTTATTGTCAAAAGAATCTACATCAGATAAAACGTGTAAAAACTCCTGATTATCACACAAATGCATCCTCTAACCACGTTTTAACTCGTCAAAACAAAGTTTAAACAGGTTAAAACGTTCAACTCTGCAGCGTCTCCCCACAGCGCGCTAAGTCCAAATTCTCCATGTGAGTTTTTTCCACCTGCTGTAAGGCCGACGGTGTCCTCTCAGGTCCACTGAGTTCAACACATAAACTTTAAAGGCACAGTTGGTGGTTGCCATGGTGACCCTGATGAAACAGTGACAGCCGTTTTAACATTCCTGTCGTTCCAATCTTTTACCTTCTCTCGTCTCAGATCAACGCAAACTTGATGCTGGAATTAGACGCAGCCCGTGGGAAAATATTCCTGTTCATAACGAGGTTCAGGTGCATTTAAATGTGACTCATTATTGTCCTCATTTATGTAAGACCTGTAGATGTTGGAAGGAAATGTCAGAACCCACATTCATCTTTTTAGGTTGAACATGTTTGCGTGGTTTTCTGAGTAGACTTTTTATCTCACGAAGAGTAAAAACGGATTGTTTGATTAAAAAAATGACTTAGAAAAGTTTGGAATTTTTTACTCAAACAGAAACCAACGTCATCAGGAGGAGGATGAAAGGGAGAGGAGAGCAGAGGGAGGATGGTGTCACACTCATCGCCATGGAAACGGCACCAGACACCAACTATGGCAGCATTACCATGGTAATAGCTCTCTCTCTCTCTCTCTCTCTCTGTGTGTGTGTGTGTGTGTGTGTGTGTGTGTGTGTGTGTGTGTGTGTCAGCGGCTGTTGGGGGTCCATCAGGGGGCTGTTTCAGAACCACTTCTGTTTAGATAAAATGTAACATTACAACAACAAAAAAATAGCATTTGTTCTTTCTCAGAACAAAATCCTAACATGCGGAACGGCTTTCCAGAGTCCTGGTTCTGGATCTGGAATGCGGGCCACCATCTGGTCAAACATGGACCTAGTTTAGTTGGTGTTCCACACACACCCTCAGCTGGATGTCATCATGGTCAGTCTGAGCTGAAACCATCAATAACTACATAGACCTGTAAGATCATGACCTCAGACCAGGACTTGTTCAGCTCAGACCGGAGCCACTAGCGTAGCTCCTCCTGACAGGAACCTTCTGAAGGATTTCAATCTTCTGCTGGTTGATGGAGATCTCTGAAGTCATGTGAACCAGCAGGAAACAGGAAGTGTGTGGCGAGAGGAGACAAGTGGACTCCACGCAGCCTAACACAAACACAGCGTCTGGTGTTCCTTCTGTTCGTCTTCAGCTTCGTTCCCAACAATGGAGACCTGAAGCTGCAGGAAGAAACAAATCAGCTCTGATTAGAGGCTCAAAGCCACAGAAACACCAAACGGACGAGGGAAGGAAGTCCTGCAGGACCAGCCAATCAACAAGGCGCTCTCAGAGGAGCAACAAACACATCATTAATAATATAGTTACAGTAGCTTCATCCAGGCTCCTTGAACATCTTAAAACCACTAACTTAAAAACTTTATTGAGATTTTCTGTCATAGACCAAAACAAAGTAGCACAGAATTGTGATTTGCACATAGAGACTGAAAATCTTTACCTGTTCTTCGCTGTAAAATGGCTCAATCCCACCTGCGAACCAACCAGATGCTCAAGACCTTGGGTCACATGATTACTATTTGATCTAAACTATTCCATCGTAGCTTTTGCTGTGTGTTCAGGGTCGTTGTCTTGCTGGAAGGTGAATCTCCATCCCAGTCTCAAATCCTTTGCAGCCTCCAGGATTGTCCTGTTTTCAGCTCATCCCAACTCCCCATCAGCCCGGACCAGCTTCTCTGTCCCTGTGCTGCAGCATGATGCTGCCACCACCGTGTTTGACAGTAGGGATGATGAGTTCAGGGTGACGAGTGTTACTTCTCTGCCACAGAACGCACTTTGCTTTAAGGCTCAAAGGTTTAACTTGGGCTGCATGGTGGCGCAGTGGTTAGCACTGTTGCCTCGCAGCACGAAGGTCGCAGGTTCGAAACTCGACTGCGGCTTTTCTGCGTGGAGTTGCGCGTTCTCCCCATGCATGCGTGGGTTTCCTCCGGTTTCCCCCACAGATCACAACATGCCCTATAGGTTATAAATTGCAAGTCGCTTTGGATAAAAGCGTCTGCCAAATAAATAAACATAAACTTTGATCTGGTGCTGGTTGCTGTGTCCCCTACATGGGCCCTGGCAAAGTCCAAACAGGACCTCTTATGCCTTCTCTCATATATAGTACGTATACACATGATGGATGTGGGGAGGGCATGACTTAGTGGTCCTGTGGACAGATTCTCCCACCTGAGCTGTGGATGTCTGCGCCTCTACCAGAGAGACCTGGAAGCTCCTCTGATCAGTGCTCTCCTTGCTTGATCTCCAAAGTCCTGAACGTCCACCATGTCCCCCGTGCCTTTGCATGCGCCACATGTCCAACATGTCCCTATGTTCTTCATGCCGTTTCGTATCAGATGTTCGATGTTTGCTGTGTCTGCAGAACGTTCCTGCTTCAGACAAGAACATGTTCAGTGACGGAACCACTCGGATCGGTGAGACGGAACACACGTGTCATCGTGACGTCACTGTGATTTTGTTTATGATGTAGCTTTTCTGATTTTGTTTTAAACAAATGAGATGGGATGAATACAATAAATATCAATTTAGATTTTAAAAATATATTTAATTGGAATACGTTTTTTAAATGACTAAAATTCGATTCTTGTTTTCCTATTGGTCAGACTTTGTGTTGGTGTGGGAGGAGCCTTGGGGCTCACAACAGGACAGCTCTGGTGTTAGCCCCACCCACATCACGTGGAGGGAGGAGTTCCTGGATGGATTGAAACGTGCAGGACTGTTGCAGGAGAAGGTGAGCTAATAGACGCACCTGAAGCTCACCTGAGCTCCCGAGGTAACGCTCACCTGGTGTACCTGAGTAAAGAACACAAGCTTACACTAAAGTAAACATCAGAAAGGAAACATGGAACTCGTTCTTGATGAACCAGACTTGAGAGTCAACATGAAGCGTGTGGATTGCGTCACCAGGCCATCATCGTCCTGGTGCCTTGCTGCAAGGTCACAGGTTCAAATCCCAGGTGCAGCTGTCCTGCATGGGGTTGGTGTGGTCTCCCCAGGCAGCAAACCTAGCTCCCATGGGTCTA